GCTCATGGGCAGGTTGGCTGGACTGATTCCTGCTCTCTGATACTGCCTGCTGCTTCTCACTCGTCCCACTCCTGGGGGGCAGCTCACACAGGCTGACACACACAGCAACCATCAGCTGCCCCCCTCCCCCAGTGCCCACTGAAATGTGGGCAGTGTGGTCTGAGTTGCCCCTGGCAGCCAGGTTATGGTGCCGGGGGACGGAGGCCTCTTCAGGCACAGAGCATCACCTCCCACTGCCCACCTGTGGGCGCCGAGGGGTCTGTGTCCCAGACAGGCAGCCGCCAGGTTGCCCGAGCAGCAGCACCTCCAGTGCTCGTGTTTGGGGGTTTTTAGACATACGGTGAATACATTTTATACAGCCCTGGGAGGGGGGAAGTTGAAATAGATTGGTCCTGAATGCTTTCTGAAAATGGACTGTTTCTAAGCGTTTTTTTGAATACACGAATCCATCATTGTGATAACCTTCAGGTCTTTCCTCACCAAACACAAACACAAGTTCTCTAATTGAGTTCGTGCAAAGCACAGTATGAAAGTGGGGCCATTTCCCACCTCTCTCCAAAAATGACGCTGATTCTAAACAACAGAAAGAACAGAACATCTAGCTGAGCTGTTTCTTCACACCCAGCTGCCCCTCCCCCTGCCATTCCCACAGACGCAGCTTCTTTCTGGGAAAGCAGCCTAATCAGATCAGTTTTAAAGCCTAAATGGTTAAACTGCATGAAATTTAAAATCAGATCAGAGTGGTATCTGTCTTGTGACCGCTCCTCTTAGTCTAGACTGAAATGACCATATCTGCTCTCTGCTGGTTCTGGGCCATGGGGGTGGGGGAGGTGGAATGATGTGATCCAGCTCCTCCCCGTCTCCGTCTCCGTCTCCGCAGCCCAGGCCCAGGGAGCCCCAGACTCGCAGAGCTGGTGGTGCCAGGGCAGGGACCTGCCGGGCTCTGTCCAAGCAGGACCCTTCTCTGCCACTTCCCCCCTAGCCCTGAGCGGCCACCAGGGCAGGACGTAGTCCTGGATTGCAGGTGGTCCGTAAACTGCCGTCTATTCCCAGTTCCCCTATAAACTAGGATCTTCTCAGCTTGACTTGGCTACTGCAGTTCACAGAAAACAAAGTGTACTTTCTACTTAGGATGGAACAGTTCCCACCCAGCCACAGGGCTGTGGAAACCTGGCCTATTCCTGGCCCCTTGTAGTTGGCATGAGGGGGCCCTGGGGCAAGCAGGAAGGAACCTAGCAAAGCAGCAGCAGGGTGTTCAACTCTGTTTACTGTGATTTCAGAAGGCCCTTTGGCAAAACCTCATGAATTAGGCAGCCAGGAGATGTGGATCAGATAGGCCAGCTGGGGCTTGGGATATTCGGCAGTGATGATGATCGTGAAATACACAGTGTAGGTGACGACTTCATTTCAAAGACACGGCCATCACTTCCATTTCAGCTCTTTCACCTTGACACTCTGCGTGGCCCTGGGAACACAGCTTTTTCATTGCTGGCTCTAAGTAAATGGAAACCACTTCCCCTCCCCCTTCCTCTCTCTGTCTCTCTCTGTTGCCTGTTTACCGTGAGCCAGCCATAGGGTTGAGGGTGGGTAAAAAGGCAGCTAAAACATGCTTGATTCCAGCCCTCATGGTGGCCGCATGGTGACTCTCCCACATACATGCCCTCTGGTCTGGAGGAGGGGTCCAGAGTCTCGTGGAGCCATCCCTGGGATAAGGACCCATCCCCATAGGAAACCGTTTCCTCACCCTGAGCGCCCTACTTTTCTCTTACGAATGCAGAAAAGGAAAGAGAAGGCACATCAGCAGATACCTACTGTGTGTCTGCTCTTTACCCAGCTCCGTGCTCCATCATCGGACTGGTAACCAGGCCACGGGACCTATCTGTCCTTTCGTGCAGCCTGGGGGTCGGGAGCGCCTGGCCTGGAAGAGAAGAGCTGTCTCCAAATACTTCTAAGCCTTCCCTGTGGAAGAGAAGGTGCTCCAGAGAAACAGAGGGACCCTGGACTGAGGTTAGGGGAAAAAAGGTTTAAGTCTATAAAAAGGCAAATGTTATAAATTGGTGTTTCTGCAAATGGGAGTGAACTGACTGGGACAGATAGCAACTGCCCCATCTCGTTAAGGCCTTTAGCAGCCTCAGACACGGGGGGCGGGGGGGTCACACAGCCCGGCCTGCTGCTAACCCAGGGCTCTGTGCCTGGGAGAACCTTCAAGAAATAACTAGGACTTGCCCCACAGACGGGCCCGCACAAGTGAACACAGATGTGTGCAGAACAGTGTCATCGTAGCGCCGTTTACCATGAGAAAAGGTGAGATTCCACTCATGCGCATCATGGAACCGGTGCATGAATTACCGTAAAGCCATACATTGGAGGAAACTATGCCTCATCCATTTAAAAAAAGTTTTTAAAATTTTTTCCATTTTTTCCTTTTAAATATTTTATTGTTTATGCTATTATGGCTGTCCCAGTTTTCCCCCTTGGCTCCCCTCCTCCTGCGGGCCCGCCCCCATCTCCCACAGGCAGTCCCCACACTGTGGTCCATGCCCATGGGTCGTGCGTATGTGTGCTTTGATTTTTTTTTTTAAGTTCTTTTCTGTAGAAAGACTTCCAAGGTGTATTATTAAACAGAAAATGGAACACATCTGTCAGTGTGGGAGGCAGAACGCATCCGCAGATTTGGTGATGTGGGGGTTGGACAGACCGAGAAGGACACTGGGGAAACCAGTTAGACTGGCTCCTTCCAGAGGGAAAATCTAGGAGCTGGGAGACAGGCAGGAAAGAGAGTTTCTCTGAATAAACTTTTGTACCTTTGGAATTTTGAATCATGTGGATGTTTTACCCGTCAAAAGTGTGGCTCAGTTGGGTAGAGCATCGTCCCATGGCCGAAGGGTTGCAGGTTCTATTCCCTGTCCTGGCACATGCAGGAGGCAATGGATCAATGTTTCTCTCTCTCCCTTCCTCTCTAAAATCAATGAAAAAATGTCCTTGGGTGAGGATAAATAAGTAAGTGTAAGTAAAGTTATTTTTTAAAACTTTAAAAATAAGTTTTATCAGGCTAGAGCATTGCAGACAACAGAGGGGGTATGAAAAGCAAGCTAACCTTGCATTGAGCGTCTGCTGTAAGCCAGGTCTTCGACTGGGTGCTTTATGTGCGTGTTACTCTTGGTCCACACAGCCCTGTGTGGGAGGCAGGACCTGCCCCCACGTTCATAGATCGAAGGACGGGGCTTTGGATGTGGAGAGTGCTGCTTGTCCATTGGGAAAGGAGGCAGCATGAGGTGGCCAGGGCCAAGGAAAGGGAGGCCGGGTGCAGGCGGGCGGGCGGGCAGACCTGCTGTGGAGGCTCACCCTTCACCTGCTCCTCCGCTAAGCTGTCGGTCAGCTGTTGTGTTTCCCTTTGCTCCTGCTGAGCCGGGGATGGTGTGGCATGCGCCTGGTAACAGGCAGTCATTTCGGTGGCTGGCGAACACCCTCCTGTGCGCCTCTGCTGGGTGTAAATGTGCTGCTTTTGCCTGCCAGCCACAGGCTGGCTGGAGAGTTGTTTTTCAGATTGTCGGGTCCTTACTTGCACTTAGAGAAAAGCTTCCAAGCGCTGGTACAAAAGGTCCTCTTTCCATTTCTTTGGAAAAAGAGCAAGTGAATGAGCTCATTATCACTGCAACCCAGAAAGGAGGGGGAAGGAAGAGGAGAAGGTGGCCTCCTCCTCACTGCACTGTCCCGCACTGTCTGGCCAGGTGTCCTGGGGTGGGGGGCATGGGTCTGGCTCAGGGCAGCCAAAGCCACATGGCTGGGCCAGGTGGCCCACACAGGGGCAGTGCCGGAGACAGGAGATGTGTCTCCTGTGAAGGTGAAACTGGAAGAGACACCAGCATTCAGGCTGCCTGTCACTACCAAACCCAATAAGCAGTGACAACAATTGAATCTTTGTGGGCACTTTATTCAGATGGCCGGTTCATACTCTAACAGACCATCTTGTCTTTTCTTTCCAGGCCAGACCTTTTATAACAGGGAGTAAACAAGGTATAGTGAGGGCTTTGAGATTCAGGGGGGATTAGATGAAAGAAGCTGCAACATTCCTGTCCTGGGCAGTTAGCTGTTCCCAGGGGTGAGTGGTCGTCTGTCTCTCCCTGGAACACAAAGGCCCAGATGCCTTCACTTGTCCCCAGGTGGTAATCCTTAGCAGTGCCCCAGGAAGTCAGCTGTTTTCCCAGGACCCAGGATGGGCCTTATCTGTAGTTTCTGAAACAAAAGCTTTAGCATACACATTACTTACTAGGCTTATAACTTTTTACCTTAAATTAAAATTTCCAACTTATGAGTCCCCTGCATTGGGACCAGTTTCTGCTGTCTGCTGTGGTCCAGAGAAGGACACGTGTCCAAGCCCGTCTAACCCCTGAGTGCAGAGCTCTGTCTGGGATCGCTGGCCTCCAGGGAGCCAAAGGTCCTCCAGTTTGGATTACGTACAGTGCTTGTCTGAGCCCTGGAAATTGGCTCACGCCTCAGAGCTGACTCCATGCAGTGTCAGTGACAGGCTGAAGGCTCATGATTTGGCAGGCACTGCCCTGGGCACTTGGGGTCTTTCGTGTGATGAAGCCGGCAAAGTCTCCGCCCTGATGGAACTAAAATGCCGGCACAGGCAGTGGAATGTGTCGGGTCTGGCCTGCTCTTGCACCCTCTGCCCATTCTCGGCCTGGGCTGGGAGAGCTGGGGGGAGGGGAGATGTGGAAATACCTTGGAAGAGAGGCTCTTTGGCATTTCCAGCAGCCAAGCCCAAGTTGTTCCTGCTCACTGCCTTCAGGGCATGTCTTTAGACCCTACTGGGTAGTGGCCGGAGTGGGCCTTTCTCAGTCTGAGTGGCAGAGAGTTCTGGTACCTTGCAGTTCGGTGCGGGACTGGGAATCATCTGGAAGAGCCCTGGAGGCCCACCCAGAGCATCGATGGTGAGCGCGCCATGTGCAATCCGAGCCTGACGGCCTCTCCTTTTTGTCCCTCTTGTGTTTCAGATTGAGAAAATCATGAGCTCCATTGGAGAAGGGATTGACTTTTCTCAGGAGCAGCAGAAGATCTCAGGTATGGTACCAAGCAGCTGTCTGCCCGCTGAACACAGACCTGTGGCTCTTTCCCGCTCGGGCATTCCCTCTGACGCGGGAGACAGACACTTCGGGGTGAGAGGGGTCAGCCTCTGACTACGTGCAGCTCACAGCTCAGGGTCTCGGCTGTCCGGCAGCCCATCTGGCTGTCATTTTTAGAGCCGTGAGCCCTTTTACATATTGGAGGGCAGTGTGTACAAATCGAACTTCAGTTTGCCTGGGGAGAAACTGTTTTCGGTGAACAGTTGTCACTCATGATTCTTTGCATAAGTATAGGCTCATTCTGAATGGCTTAAATATTGGAGTGCTGCTCAGTTTGGTCTCCCTGCTTCCCAGGCGGCTCTGGCACTGAGTGTTCAAGGGCACGCGGCTCTTGTTGGTCTCGTCTGTGGCGGAGGCCGGGGTCAGACGGTGGCCTCGCCTGTTAGCCCACATCTCCTGAGCAACCGACTTTGCTGTCCTGGTATGTCTGTCTGTCTGTCCATTTTTCCATTTACTAAGTCACTCGCCCTTTTCCCTTCAGATCACTACTACCTCAGGCTTCCCTTCCATCGCAGAGCCCTCGGGGTGAGGCCTGCCCCGTGGGAAACCTGGGACTAGAGAGGCCCGGCCTGCGCTGTCGTCCTTGACGATAGAACAGCCGTGGCTGTGGTGCTTTCTTAGGGCGGTGGTATTCTTCAAGTGCCTCTCGGAGCAGCTCCCACACCTCCCCCCCGAATCTGCCGCTCGTCCCCCCACGCCCAGCCTGGTCTCTGCCCCTTACCAAGGAAGTGCCCCTCTGCACTGAGGGGGTGGGCTTCCCTGCTCCTCTGGAAGCTTCGTCCAGGGTTGACCCACTAGCCCCAGGAACCTCTGGTTCCTCCATGGACCTCTGGCTCTGGCAGGAGGTCCGATGGGTGGGGGCAAGTGTGCGCATCAGGAGGAAAGGGCCCGCCAAGGCCGTGGGCTTGTGGAGAGGGTACAGGCTCTGGAGCCTCAGTTCAAACCCTGGCTCTAGACTCTGTGTGTGTGTGTGTGTGTGTGTCGGACAAGTCACCTAACTGTCTGTCTGAGTCCCCAGTTCTCTGCCTACAGCATTGGGGAGATCGTATCTACCTCATCAGTTGGTGGGAATGAATAATACATATAAATACTTGAGCTAAGGAGTGTAGTAGCTGCGCCCATTTTTGTCTGTGAGATCACTGCTAACGCATGTTGAGATACCTAGAGAAGAAGGGCACCTGTGCTGCTAGCTGGCCCCTGGCACCCACCCCACCCCACACCGCACGGGCTTGTGTCCCTGGGTTCTAGCAGGGAGGGCCCAGCCGGGTTGGGTCCGCCTTTGTCAGCCCTGGGGTCTGCGGAGAGGGCTCTTCTGCCCGAGAGTTTGTGGCCCTGTTTCCAGGCAGCTGCTTCCTCTCGGGCACGCAGTCTCACATCACACTCTGCTATAGTTTGCAGGCTTTGCTGAAAATCGAGTGTTTGTAGGGAAAGAAGTTCAGGACTGACCCATCACCGTTGCCATTTTCACAGGTGTGCTTGGGGCGCAGCCAGCAATGGGGTTGATAATGGTTCAGCTGAGGCCGTCTCGCTTCCCCGTTCCCCTTGGTGGCAGAGGAGCCTGCATCACTTGTGTGTGATTGAGAGGTAGGGTTAGAAGCAGGCTTTCCTAAGTCAGGAGATATGGCAGCACCTCTGGAAAACACTCTTCTAGAGGAGCCCTTCTCATTGGAGGTGGTGACACAGAGCTCTTTCTTGGCCCTGCTGGCTCCACACCCAGTTCCTGCCCCCCATGAACCCATGCGAGTGGCAAGAGTTGGTTGGTCCCACTATCTCCCTAGGTGCCTGTGTCCCTGCACAGTCTTGTTTAGAATTCATTGAGTTCAACTATCCTGCGTACTGCAGCTTAGAAAGTCAAGGGCAGGCACACGAGGGTGGCCATCTAAATAGATGGTGCATCCACCCACGCTGCCGAGCCCCAGCCCGCTGTGCATGCCCCGCGGCCAGGCTGGGACACATGGAGAGCATGGGCTCAGCCTGCCCCACACTCCTCCTTCTAACAGTCACGGGGGGGGCTTTCCCAGGACCTCAGGGAGCACCAGCCCTCAGCCCAGGCCCTAACAGAATTCTTGTTTATTTTGAGCGGTCACTATCAGGGTGCAGATTGTCCTTAGGCTGCTTCTGGATTAGGAGAAGGGACCTGGCTCTGGTTTGCCACCCTGGCTGGGGAAGCAGGCCGCTCCGCAGCCAGCTCTCAGCTAAGCATGGGGTTGCCCCGCTCACGTCCTAAAGGGGGAGACCCTCTATGGCACCTGAGTCTCAGTCCTGTTTTGGGCCACGAGTCCCTAATCCGCCAGCATTGGAGCTGGATACCCGACTCCCCACGTCCCCGACAGGAGTCTAGGAGGCAAGCCTTCCCCCGGCCCAGGCCACTCTGGCCTTGTTCGCCAAAGGCCTGTTCTGTCAAACAGAAGAGACCACTTGGCTTTCTTTTGCTAAAATCAGTCATTTAGCTGTTGAGTAGCAGCTGAACACCCGCTCCTCCTGAGGCCTGACCTCCTCGCACACAGAGCCCCTCTGCACCAGGACCGGCTACAGCCTGTTGGGTGCAGGTGCCCCCGGCGTGTTGGAGGTGGCGTGTGGTCCCTGGGTTGTCTCTGCACATGTTGCTCTTTTGTCTCCACAGCTGGACTTGGGGTTTGGTTCTGGCTTCCCCTTGTCCTTGTGACCTCCCCTCCCGTGCCTCCTCCTTCAGACTGTGCCTGCCCTGCTCTGGGCCTGGCGTCTCTCTCCTGTGAGCCAACGCCCCAGAGAGGTCACTCCCGGGCTGTGTGGTGCACTCACCTGAGGACTATCAGGTGTGACGCCCTCACTTCGCCTCCTGTGTTTGTGGTGCCCAGGGCAGTCTTCTTGGCTCAGAGGCACGGTCACTCCTTACGTGGCAGGTGGGCTGTGTCCTTGGGGCCATGTCGTTCATTCCCCTGTCCCCTCTCTGGCTGTCCTGCAGACTCTCAGCCAGAGCTATAGGAGTGTTCCCCTCTCTGCTGCCTGAGGAGCTGTTTCAGCTGCCTGAGCTGGAGGTCAGGTCTTGCTGTCCTTACCTTCATGTTGGCGTGTGTGTCAGCCAACATCAGATGTTGGGAAACCTGCCATTTGCTCTGGTGCCAGTGCTGCTGTGTCCTCCCTCCGAGGCAGCAGCAGCAGCTTCTGTTTCGATGTCCGATCCCTGATGTATTTTCCCGAGCGTGGAGGGGAGGAGGGTGGGGAGGGGGAAGGGGAGGGCCAGGCATTATGAGAGTGAGCAAGGGCTGTGGAACCGGCAGCAGGCAGCGTCGAGCCCAGGAGCCTTTAGACAAAGCACTCCGCTGCGTTGTGTGAGCGCACTCGGCCTCCGGCGGCCGGGGGTTACGGGCAGGAATGAATCAGCGGCCGGGAGCACCTGACTTCTTGGGCGGACAAGAGCCTGCTGCTTAGGTCCCTGGAGCCGACAGCCCTGCTCAAGGGCAGGGGAGCTCAAGTAGCCCCGGACTCAGCATCTGCTACAGTGCGCACTGGGAGGCCGCCAGGTCCCTGGCTACCATCTGCTCGGCAGAGAGGACAGGCGAGAAGGGGAGCCTGGGACCCTGGGTCACCAGGGTCTCCTAATAACCAAGCCAGTGGCCTTGGCCTGCCAGGCGGGCGGAAATACCGGGAACAACAGAACGACTTTCACCGGGTCAAGAGTTCTTTGGAGGTGATGTTTTTATAGTTGGCTCTTCTTCCTTCCTCGCACCTCTTTCTCTTCCCATTTTCTTTTTTCCTCCTTCTATCTGTACTTGCCTGTGATCACCAGAGAAGTAGGTGGTGGTTCAGGTGTTCAGCTCAGAACATCCAAGGTCTTCCAGGAAGGGCCCAACTTCTCTCCTCCCTCACCACCTCCCTGCTCAATCTGAGGAGCGCAGCAGACAGACGGCCTCCCTTCCCCGCTCGTCCTCCAGGACGTCAGGACCCGGGGAACCTGGGAAGACACTTGCTGTCCTTACCTCTTGGCCGAAGACAGAGCAGTGCAGAATGTAAATAGACTTCAGCTGCCACAGCTTGGCTGACAGGGACCGCCTCCTTTTTCTCTTCTCCGCTGGATTTTGTCAAAAACTGGATCTGCCTGCCTTCCACCTGGGCGGCAGGTGAGTCACGGGAAGAGCCACCATCAAAGGAACATGAATGCCCAGCCGCTGCAGACCCACCCGGCCAGAGAAAGCAGCCCTCCGGACGGTGCCCCGGCCCGGGAGACACCCCGCCTGCCACTGGCACCTGGGCTCTAGCTGCAGACCCAGCTCCTGACCTGCCGGCCACACAGCCCAGCGGAGTGCGATGTCGCCGCCCCAGCAGAGCCACTCTGAACCTGGTGCCTGAGCCATGGCCCACGTGCCCTGTCAGCTCCTCTCTGCCTGAGCCTCTGAGCACAAAGGGCCATGGTGTGCTTGTTCCGGGACTGCTGGGGGAAAACAAGTAAAAGTCTCTTTTCTCCCTGCCATGTTCACTGCTGCTTGGGTTGCATGTGCTGGGTCCCTGCAAGAGCTGCCGCTTCCCTCCCGGAGCCCTCCCAGTGTGCCTGTGTCCCAGAGCTGCATGGAGATGTGTGCGCTCTCCTGACCCGTGTGCGCTGCAAGGTCGCAGGACTGGTCCCGCACCCACAGCCCCACGGGGCTCCCGGATGCACGGATGACAGGGGCTCCCGGCCCCACTGGTGCCCGTGGGACCAGACTTTGTGAACTACCTCAATGTGAATGCTAACAAGGAGCTGACCCAGAGACTGTCGGCGGTTGGCTTCCCCCCGCCCCTGCCTGTCCCCGACTGGTGGGCAGAGGTCATGCACGTGCCCCCCCAGCTTGGAGCAGCTCGGCTGAGGGGCGAGTGGGCCAGCGCCCACATGAGGTTGTGGGGGTGTGCGGTCGGCAGGCCACCCTCGGCCACACACAGGAGGAGCGGCGGGTCCTCCGTTCTCCCACTCTGGCCCTTTGTCGATAGTTTGTCTGCTTCGTGGTAATGACTATGATGTGGCAGTGCCATCTGTCTTCATCCGAGTGCCGCTGCTACCGCCTTAACGGTTTTTCCCTTTTCAAGCGTCTGCCGATTCCTCTCTCGTCAGGTTCGCGGACGCTGGAGCAGAGCGTCGGGCAGTGGCTGGAGGCGGTGGGGCTGCAGCAGTATGAGAGCAAGTTGCTGCTGAATGGCTTTGACGATGTCCGCTTCCTGGTAAGTGCAGGCCTCCTGGGGGGCCGGCCTGTGGGGACTGCTCCTGCAGCGAGTCAAACAGTGCGTGGAAGTGACTCACGGAGCCGGGACTGTCATGGGCCTTCTTTCCAAACTCTGTCCCCCTCTACTTTGCTGTACAGAGAGCTCTCTGTAAGTCTGCATCCCAAGAAACAGGGCCCCTCCCCAGTCTCCCTCTCAAAGCTCAGGCCACCTGTTGTGTGGCACGACATCAGCCTTCTCATTCCGTTAGACGCCAGGAGTTGTGGTGGACGGGGCAGCCGGGTCACTGTGGTGACTGTCTGCCCTGCCCCGTCTTAGTGGGACACCAGAAATCTCTTCTGTTTTCCACAACTTTGCTGTTGAGCAAGTCACTTGTCTGGCAGAAAGGCCTCTTCTCTGCCCGGTGTCTGGGGGGCTGCAGCAGCCTCAGGTGCCCCTCCGTGCACCCATGGCCTTGCAGACGGCTCTTGCAGAGGAGAGGCTGGTTGTTCAAAGCATTGGTTGCTTTTCTGAAGTGTAATTAAAAAAAAAAAAAGAAGAGGAAAAGTCTAGGTGTCTTCAGGCTCCCTATGGAGTAGGGGCTTCCTCTGACAGTCTGAATGTCACTGAGAACAGGGTGCCCACAGTGACGATCCCTCTCCAAGAAGCCCTCCTTGAGACCCCCTCATGGGTTGGGCCAGGGCAGCACAGCCCGGGCACAGCTGAGCCAAGGGCTGCAGCTCACTTCAGAGGCAGCACTGGCGTCCCCAGGGCAGCATTTAACGGTGATGCCAGTGAGAGCTGTCACTTCTGTACCTACTGTGTGCTAGGCACCGTGGGCACTGGTGCCCATATGTCAGCCCCTCAGATCTTTCCAGCAGCCTGAGATGTGCACTAACATTACTGTTTTTTAATATATATTTTATTGATTATGCTATTACAGTTGTCCCATTTTCCTCCCTTCATTCCCCTCCACCCTGCACACCCTCTCCCACCCACATCCCCCCCCCCTTGAGTTCATGTCCATGTGCCATAAGTTCTTTAGCTTCTACATTTCCCATACTATTCTTGCCCTCTCCCTACCAACTATGTTACATCTATTTTCTACCTACCATCTATGCTACTTATTCTCTGTACCTTTTCCCCTCTCTCCTCCTCCCACTCCCCTGTTGCTAACCCTCCATGTGATCTCCATTTCTGTGGTTCTGTTCCTGTTCTAGTTGTTTGCTTAGTTTGTTTTTGTTTTTGTTTTTGTTTTAGGTGTAGTTGTTAATTGTGAGTTTGCTGTTATTTTACTATACATGTTTTTCATCTTCTTTTTCTTAGATAAGTCCCTTTAACATTTCATAAAATAAGGGCTTGGTGATGATGAACTCCTTTAACTTGACCTTATCTGAGAAGCACTTTATCTGCCCTTCCATTCTAAATGAAAGCTTTGCTGGATAGAGCAATCTTGGATGTAGGTCCTTGTCTTTCATGACTTGGAATACTTCTTTCCAGCCCCTTCTTGCCTGTAAGGTCTCTTTTGAGAAATCAGCTGACAGTCTGATGGGAACTCCTTTGTAGGTAACTCTCTCCTTTTCTCTTACTGCTTCTAGGATGCTTTCCTGCATTTTTACCTTGGCTAATGTAATTATGATGTGCCTTGGTGTGTCCATCCTTGGGTCCAAGTTCTTTGGGACTCTCTGAGCTTCCTGGACTTCCTGGAAGTCTATTTCCTTTGCCAGATTTGGGAAGTTCTCCTTTAGTATTTGTTCAAATAACTTTTCCATTTGTTGCTCTTCCTCTTCTCCTTCTGGTACCCCTATAATTTGGATGTTGGAACGTTTCAAGATGTCCTGGAGGTTCCCAAGCCTCTGCTCATTTTTTTGGATTCTTGTTTCTTCATTCTTTTCTGTTGGTTGTTTCTTTCTTCCTTCTGGTCCACTCCACTGATTTGAGTCCCAGTTTCCTTCCCATCACTGTTGGTTCCCTGTGCATTTTCCTTCATTTCACTTAGCATAGTCTTCATTTGTTCATCTAATTTGCGACCAAAATTCAACCAATTCTGTGAGCATCCTGATCACCAGTGCTTTGAACTGTGCATCTGATAGGTTGGCTGTCTCTTGGTTGCTTAGCTGTATTTGCTGTGGAGCTTTGATCTGCTCTTCTGTTCAAGCCATTTATTTTCCTCTGTTGTGCCTGTTATGTAGTGAGGGGCAGAGCTGTAGGTGTTCACCAGGGTGGGCAACCCAGTCACTGGGTTGTGACGCTATATGTGGGGGTGGGGTCCAAGAGGGAACAATGGCACTTGCTCCGCTCTCTATTGGACTTGAGTCCCTTCCACCGCTTCCCCCAAGCAAACTGGGCCTTTCTGGTGCTAATTCCCGTGTGGGCGGGCTTGTGTATGTTCTAGGACCCCATGGGTCTCTCCAACGAACTCTCTTGTGAGACTGCAAGTCTCTCCCTGCGCCTCAACTCCCACAGGTGTTTTTAGTCAGTGTCCTGAGGCTCTGTTTCCTGGCTGGGACCTTGGGTTGTGGGCAGTGCCTTGCGTCACAATCGTCACCTTGCTGGGTCTGCTGGTTGCCACCCCGCGCCCAGGGACCACCTGCTGAGGTCTTGGGTGACCGGGATGCCTTATGCACCTGCTCTTTGTGCCACTACCCCTCTCTACCTGGCTGCCTGTCTCCGTCCTTCCTACGGGTCTGGATGAATGTGTCTATTTTAACCCCTTGGTTGTCCGACTTCCATACAGTTCAATTTTCTGTCAGTTCTGGTTGGTATTCTGTTTCTAAATTGTTGTCCCTATCTTGGTTGTGCAAGGAGGCACAGTGTGTCTACCTACGCCTCCATCTTGGCTGGAAGTCGCATTAATGTTTTAATCCAGAGCAGTTAAGTGGCTTGCTCACGTCACAGCACCGGTAGTCGCCACTGTGGGAACGTGCAGCAGGCACTCCGGGTCTGAGGCCGTGCTGTAACCACGGTGTCCTTCCTACATGTGAGGATGTGGGGAGCGACAACGTAACTATTTCCGTGCTCTGAGCCACCGACTTTGTGTGTTGCCTCAGGAGCGTGGTTCGAGGTGAATTTAGCCAACCTTCCTGCCCTTCCTTGTTCCCTGGCAGGCCTGTCGCCTGCTCACACAGCTCCTGGGAGCACAGTCCTGACTTGGCATTGAGCCACCTTTCCTCTCTGAAGCAGATCCCTCTCTCTGCTCACTCACTCCGCTGCCTTTTGAGGGGCAGTGGGCAACCTCTGCTGCCAAAGTCAAAGGTCAAAGTCAGCTTCGGGCTCCTATCGCTGCTCTCACCTCTCCAGTGTGGGTCTCTGTGGGTTTCCCACTGACGAGGTGGCATTTGGTGCCTCCCAAATGCCCAGGGAGCTGGCCTAGGGCTTCCAGGAGGGGCCCTGAGCAGGACAGCTCACCTTACCGGGGCCATCTGCATCTCCAGGGCAGGCTGTGAAGTCTGCAGCAAGCCACCCTTCCAAAGCCTACTGAAGGCCAGTTATTTTTAGCTTTAAAAAATACTAGGTTTTAAAATAGCAATTTTTAAAAAAAAGTTAAACTGAGTATATTTATGGCTCTTAAAACCTAACCCCTGACTCATAGTGTTCTTTGGGAAATGCCAACAAACCCAGAACGGGGTGGGGGTTCAGCCTGGGAAGGGGCGAGTGGCCCTGGCACTGAGTGCAGCAGGGCCTCCCCTCTCTGAGCACGTACTTTCCTCAGACTGGCCATCAGACGGGCGATGGAGGGTGGCCATGGACTCCACACGTCCCCTGCCTGTGCTTCAGTATTTTAGAGGCTGAGCTCTTGACTTCTCGCTCCTCCTGGTGATTTTGGAAAGGGTGAGGTTCCCTGCCCTTCCCAGTGCTCCCAGACAGAGAGTAACTAGCTCGTCAGGAATCTGGGGAGGTCTGGCCCTGGCCCAAACATCCATTCAAGATGCAGGGCCTCTGTGAGAAAGGGTCTGTTCCCATTCGGCAAGGGCCCTCATTGAGGGAGGCCAGCAGCTCCATTTTTCCAGGACCCTCCCAGGCCCCTCCTGGGGCCCTGAGCACAAGCTGTTCTTCCTGACCCCTCTCGGTCTGTTGGGCGGCTGGCAGGCAGTCTGCACAAGGGCTGCTGATTGCACCCCACCCGAGTCTGTTCATTCACGTGCCCAGAGTGGCCTGAGTAGCCGTGCAGAGCATCCTGGGTAATTGCGTGTAAATTGCCAGGTGGGCTGTAACGCTAATTAAGTTTTAGCGACCAGAAAAAAGAGGAAGGAAACACCCAAGAAGGGGCCATTTTTTAGAAACATTGCATATGGTATACCGCACATCACAGTAGCTGTGGGGCGTCCCCGTGTGGCGGTTGTCTCCCTTGGTTCAGAAATGCCCTGCGGACTCTTCCACCAGGTGCACACGTGGCTCCCAGGAAACCAGGCTCTAGCTCTAGTGGGGACATCTGGAAACGGTGTTTCACACGGCAGGTCCTGCAGGCTTGTTGTGAGGTGCAGGGCATCTGTAGGGCTCAGGGCTCCCTCTCTGGGAGGAGGGAACTGTAACAGCATGTGGTCTACCGTATTTTGCCATATATAATGTGCACTTTTTTTGCCCAAATTTTTGAGAGAAAAGTAAGGATGTGCATCATAGATGGATAGCACTGATTCTGTATCAGCCTTCTATGATATATAAATATCGTAAATTTCTCACCAGTACATAAAATTGCTTGTATCTTGTTGTATCTGTTCTTGTGTTTTGAGATTATGTGTTACATAAAATTTCTTATACCATAATATGTTAAAAAATAAATGTTAAATCCCTTTATAATACAAAAACCAAATATGTAAATATAAATAAATAATTGAATTTAAAAATTAAAATGAAAGATTTTTTCTCCAAAAATTTGGGCCCAAAACAAGGGTGCATGTTATACAGGCAAAATACGGTAATCATCCCCTCTCTGCCTGAACCCCTTCCAGGTCATCTTTGCTGTGATGCTGTTTCAGTGGGGGTGGGGGGGGTTCACCCCTTACAAAGTAGGAGCCCATTTG